TCCGAACAAATTTGAAAGGTGTAAGTTGTAGGTACCATCATGTTTTATTACTACAAGTGTGAACAATGGCAAATGACCCACAACAAAATTATGTGCGGTCAAAGTCTTTTAAGGTTTGGTGTCTTTGACCTGCCCTGAGGTCCCTAATCTTAGTAGAGCAAAACCTCAATTAGCACATAGCATGCCAAATTGATAGATGAACAGGTACTGAAAATTCACTGTTGCTGCAAGCGTTCGTTATTTACCTGTGTGCGAAAAAGCGTTGGGGAAGTCAACTTCCCCCCCCCCCCGCCGCGCGCGGGTTCAGCAGCGTGCCTTGTCTCAGCATATGCCGGTCGCACCCTTGTGGGCGCCGCCATCAGCAGTGGTGACGCCGTGGGGCATGGGGACACGTCACCCACAATTTACAGAACATGAGTGATTGTCGCCTGGATTCTCACACCCGAAAGTGTCAAGCCCGGGCCGTCAATTTACATTGCTCGGGGTTCCCTGGTAAATAAGGGCTCCCTTTGTCGTTCAAGAACCCACAGTGCCCTAAGAAAGGTCCTGTGTTGGCAAAGGGCTCCAAGCTGTCTAGTGGTGGTGTTCGAGCGAGCTCAATGTGGGGCCCGAATGACTGATCGGGACCAACGACCAAGGGCCCAATTGGAAGTCTGAAGGGCCCGAAGTACCCGAAGCATAATCTGTCGGTCACATCAAGATCTTCGCTCGTGGAACCGAGACCGCAAACGTAAGTCAGGGGCCCTATTACATCGACTGAGGATTCCTGGTGCCACACGGGCCTCTATTTCGGCCGAGACCATAAATACCGAAACAGTTGGCTCCGTACCGCTTGTGCCCTAGGCTCATTGCGCAAACAGGAACAAGGCCGAGGTCTGCGATTTGCATTGGTCAGGGTCCCATGATGTAATGAGCGGCTCTGTGCCAATCAGCACACAATGCCGAACAGGAGTGCCGGTGTCGACAATTAAGTCCGATTGGGCCAGGTGCATTTCTAAAGGGGTCTGAAGGGTGTCCAGAAAGGGACCCTAGGGGCCCTCCAGAAAAAAGATAAAAGACCCGACTGGAAGGCTAAATGGCCCAAAGGGCATATGTCACATTGAGGTGAGGCCGTGACCTCAAATATCAGTCAGAGTGCGTCTACACTGATTGGAGCCTTGGACAATCCGGTCTACTCTATTAGCAAGAGACCACAAAACAACGAGCAGTCGGCTCTGTGTTGTATGAGGCCCTGGGCTCTATTTCCTCTGAAAGGACAAGCCTGGGAGCTTTGCAGCAATGGGGGGGGGGTGCAGGGGGGGCTTCCTATGACGACCAGGGGATCCACATTTCAGGGGTTCCGTGTCAGCCAGGGGTCAGTTAGCTGAGCAGAGACACGGACGGGTCTTTGAATACTAGAGGACAATCTTGCGTTTTCTCGCCCTCAATGGAAGATAATGGGAGTGCCCTGTCTCAGTCCGGGGCTTCTGTACCGAACCGGTGGTCCCTTCGTCCCCCTGTCAGCCAATGACCCCTTTTCGAAATATTGAAGTCTCTATGCCAAAAGTTATTGGACCACCTGCGGTGATAATGGATTCTTTTTGGATAAGAGATTCTGCGACATGCTTCTAATAAGTTTCACGTCAAGAGGTGCAACCTGTGCAGAAAAACTGTGTAGAAATTACCAACTGTGCAGAAGAATTCCAGACAAAAACTACCACTTGGTGACCTAGAGGACATTTGAATTCAGTGGGGTCAAACCTACCAAACCATGCTGATGTTACAGTTTAAAATGCTAACCCGGGTCCATATGATAAGGTTCAATGCTTTTCTGTGTCCAAAATAATGTTTTGTACATCTGTATGGTACCGAAGTAGTGCCACAGCTGTCGTCCACATTACACAGAGTGCCTTCGACGTTTGACAATGTATTTGAAACACAATAAGAACAAGCACGTTGGTGCATGAAATGAGACGCTATCAGCTTCACTAACACGATGAAGATGTGGTTACATGCGTCACACCGCTCATCTGGTTTCTGCGCCATTGGAAACGTAGGTCAACTTACCTTCGATGACCCCACGTGACCTTGCATCTCTTCTCAGATTTTTGTGGCCCACATTATGCATCAGAGTGATGTCACAACATAATTTAAGCGGCGTATTCGAATTATTCATCTAATATCACCTTTTAAAACTCCCTACTTTTGTGCTCAACAAGTATCTACAGAAAAGTGCCTGTGGAGATACGTCATGACCCGTACCACGGTCATGTGTGCTGTGGAAATATGATGGGCTGCGCACGTGAGTGGTATTCCTCCTTATATACATACACCAAAGCTACGCAACATACTACGAATTTGCATCATACTTCCAAAATATATGTAAAAATTTGTCCGATTTTAGAATCACCGACTTTGGATGTTATAAACAATCATGAAATTTGCAGGCTGTAGGTACCATCATGTTCCATTCTACAAGTGTGAGCAATGACAAATGACCCAAAACAAAATTATGCGTGGTGTAAGTGTTTAAACGTTGTCCCAATGAGCTGACATGAAGTCCCTAATGGTGATAGACCAGAACTCCAATTAGCACATAGCATGCCAAACCGATAGACCAACAGGTACTGCAAATTCACTGTTGCTGCAAGCGTTCGTTATTTACCTGTGCGCGAAAAACAGTCGAACTGGAAGTCAACTTCCCCCCCCTGCCGCGCGCGGATTAAGCGGCGTGCCATGTCCCACCACATGTTGGTCGCACCCTTGTGGGCGTCGCCATCAGCGGTGGTGACACCATGGGGCATGGGGATGCGTCACCCACAATTTACAGAACGTGAGTAATAGTAGTCTGCATTCTCAGACCCGAAACTGTCAAGGGGATGACCACACGCTCTGGTGAAGCAATCACACGCGCAAAATGTTACAGCCCCCGAGGTATTGAACGTAATTGTTACAACACTCCAGAAATATCAGAACAAATGCATCACGCGTCAGCCTTTTCAATATGAAGGTCCTCGTACTGTGTATGTTGGAGCTCACGCTCGTCACTTCGGCTGCTGAACGCCGTTCCCACGCTTCTCGACAAACTGTCTGCAGGGGTGAAATATTGCATGTCTTTTTGGGGTCATGTCCATATCTAAACCATGACATCGACCTCTGACAGCACAAAATCAGTGGCATGAGTCCAGCAAAACTCAAACCATTTCACTCTTGCAGCCCAGTTTTTAATATTTCGTCCTTCATTTGATTCCGCCATTTGAAGTCTAGTGGCAGTGACGTGGTGATGAGATGATGACCGTATAGTGGCAATGCAGCGTGCATGGTGAAATTCGGAATGGTTTTGGCAAAATCGTTGATCTGAATGCTGTTTTCCAACTTGTGTGCTATCATAGCCGCACACTGGCAGATCAGGGGAGCGCCATTCCAGCGATGGTCCAAAACGTTTGGGACCATTTAGACCAGATCAGGCCTTTTTGTATTGCATCCAAATATTTGCATATTTGCTTGGGACCAGACTTCCAACTGGGCCCTTGAAGAAGGGAGCTCTCATTGACTAATGGACCCCGACCAATGTAAATCGCGATCACAGGCCTTGTCCCAGCTTTCATCGTTCACCCAGAGTTTGAATCCGTGCTTTTTATTCGACACAGGGCCCAAACCTACAGCCA